ACAGGGGACCCGCAGGCGACCGTCGAGCAGGAGCCTGGGGGACCGCAGGCGAGCCGGGGGACAGGGCGGGCGGGGCCCGACCCCTGCGCCTATGTCCTCTCCCTTTCCTGGACACCGACAGGCGGGGTTCCGGTCGGGCTTGACCATGCCGGGGCGAGAGAAGAGGAGTCATTAGGGAGGTCCCCGAGGGGTCCCACTCGAGCTCCTCCTCTTCCAAGGAGGAAGGAGCGATGGTTGGATTGTCTGGGACCTCCTCGGGGACTGGGACCAGGGCTTGGGGAACTGGAGTCAGGGCCTCCAGTGAGGCAGCAGGCGTGGCCGCAGGCGGTGCAGCCAGGTCCGCGGGCGCTGCAGCCAGGGCCGCAGTCAGGACGGGCGAGCCGGGCAGAATAGGAGAGCCGGGCTGGACGGGCAGGATAGGAGAGCCGGGCTGGATGGGCGCTGCCGCATGAAGAGCCGTGGCCTCAGGAGGTGCCGCGGGAAGAGCGGCGGCCTCAAGAGGTGCTGCGGACCTGCGGCCAGCAGGAGGTGCCTCCGCGGGCGCCGCGGACATGCGGCCAGCAGGGGGCGCCTCGGCAGGCACCTCGGGCTTGCGGCCAGCAGGGGGTGCCGCCGACATGTGACCAAAAGGGGGCGCCTCAGCAAGCGCCGCTGACATGTGGCCAGCAGGGGGCGCCTCAGCGGGCGCCACCGACACATGGCCAGCAGGGGGTGCCTCGTGAAGAGTGGCGGCAGCGGCAGCAGGTGGTGCAGCCGGAGCTGCGGGCAGGATGAGAACAGGTGGGTCAGGAGCAGGCGGGACCGACGAGCAGGGCTGACGGGCATAGAGGCAGCTTCAGGCAGGGCCGCAGGCAGAGCGGCGGCCTCAGACAGGGCCGCGGGCAGAGCTGCGGCCTTAGGCAGGGCCGTGGGCGTGTGGCCAGCAAGGGGTACCTCGGCGGGCGCCGCAGTCACGCGGCCAGCAGTCGGGACCGACGAGCAAGGCTGGATGGGCATAGAGGCGGCTTCAGGCAGGGACCGCAGGCAGACCGGTGGCAGCTGCAGGGACCGCAGGCTGGGCAGGCGGGTCAGGTGGGACAGGCGGGACAGGCGGTGCCGCTGGCAGTGCGGCGGCAGCAGCAGCAGCAGGCATTGCCGCGGGCAGTGCAGCGGCAGCAGCAGCCGGTGCTGCTGGCAGGTCCAGAGCAGGCAGGTCAGAAATGGGCGCCAGTAGTGGCGCCGGGTATGCAGGTGCTGCCCCTTTAAGGGCCTTGGGGATCCGGGGAATCGCGTCATCTATGGACCTGATCCCTTTAAGAGCCAAATGGTTTCCTGGCATGTGACATACTGCTGTCAACCCCGGAGCGACGGGGAGCGGCGTGACAGCCGCTGCCTCAGGTGGGGGAGACTGTGCACTCCGTAAATGGAGTAGTCTCCTCAGGCCGTCTGCCAACCTCTCCATGTCGCTACGAGGAGAAGTCGGACCAAAGGCAGCGAATTCTCGCTGCAGCTGCTCGGCGAGCCGAACAGCTTCCGCGCAGTCCTGTGAAATTGGTTCTTCCATCACCCTCCAGTAAAGTCCCTGGAGGGTAAAGAATTGGTCGGCGAGCGTCTGGGCAGGACTTGCTGGGGTCCGTGCGGACTCTGTCCTCGCAGGTTCGAACACCGCGGGGTCCAGGATAGGAAGGGGTTCCCAGGAATCCCCGGCGGGGGAAGAGAGAGAGAGAGAGTAACTGCTCCCAAAATGATCGCCTGCGCTTCTTCGGGTCCCTCACCTCCTCTCTTCTTCTTTCTCCGGGTTCGTGTTTTCAGTGGGGGCTGGGAGTCCCCAGGAAGGGTCGTCGGCGGGTGAATCACTCGTTTATTGCCGAGCTCGACCTGCCGGGTCCTCCTAGTGGTTAGCCCCTTACGTAGCTGCCGGAGATTGACGCGCACTTCCTCCGCGAGGTGCGCCTCTTCTTCCAGGGACATTGTCTCCAGGACGTCCCGGCTTTTACTGGTTAGAGCCCAGGCTATAGGATCCTCTCAGACCTCTGGCTGGGCCAGCCAGTACAGGACCTCTTCAACCAAGCTGAGGTACTCATCCTCGGCTAGGGGGGATCCTTTCTTGTGGAGATCCGTCATTCTGTCAGGGTTGCAGGGCAAGCGAGCCGGAAAGCAAGCGAGCGGAGCCGTGAAGACGGACAAAGCAGGGTTTATTCGTAGACGGAGAGTTGACAGGCATGAACACCAAGACAATACAATGACGGATCTGACGAGACATACTCAGACATGGACTAAATACATAAGACTAGCCAGAAATAACAGGACACAGGTGATCACAACCAGGAATTGACACGAGGTAATGAGGGGGCCTGGCACACACAAGGATCGGACGGAGCTGGGCATGACACAAAGATGACATGCAGGAAAGGATCAATTTTCTATAATAGCAAGGAAAGCTTGCAAAGCTGCATGAGTTTTATTTACCAGTGTGTGCAATAAACCATAAAAATAATAATAAACTCTAACCTTTTTTTCATGGCACATTTATAAAAGTATTTTATGAAGCTCCCAGGAGTTTCACAAGGTTATGGTAGGTCAAGGGCTCAAATTTTGTAATGTTACATTTTTGGAAAAGGACACCCTTTCCTGATCTTTAGGTCACATTACTGATTAATGCTTATTAACAAGTGTATTTTGCTATCCTTGACCGATTCTCTCAAGGACTGAGACTGCGCCAGATTGACATGATTCAAGATGGCATTACCAGCAGTTCAGTAACACTCAGTAGAATGAATCAAAAGCTACGAAGTGTGTGTAAAATAGCAATAAAAGTGAACAGAAGAAAAAGCGGACAACTCATGGGTGGAAGTACAGAGTTTATTGAAAGCAACTTCTGCCATAAGAGAAAGTTAAACAATTGTACAGAAATCAAAAGTTTGCTTTCATTTTCCCTAGCAATCCCATTGCCATAAACGTTACTTAAAACAAAATCCTAGATTTAACTTTGATGACAAAAGTGAATTCAGCAAAACTGAAAAAAAAAAAAAATATAAAACTTCTGAATTTCTAGTATGGATGTGGAAGAACATGAGAAACATGGAGAAGAAAAAAGTTGGTATTTAGGATGCTGGCTGTGAACAGTCAAAGACAACGACCAATTGAGCGACGCTCAAGATGTCATCTTCTTCCCATCATATCAAGGCATGTCCGTCGAGGGACAACCATCTTAATTGATGAGTGGAGAGCCTACAGGAGTGCACTATTAAGACTGGGTTATCGTCGCTTGACAGTAAACCACAGCAGGTGGCTTATGGACCCAATTCATGGAGGCCACACACAGAATACTGAAAGGGCTTGGCTGACATACAAAAGTCAAATCTGGCGATTAAGAGGCAATAGAACAGAGAAGCTCCTAAAGGAACACTTATCCTGTACTGAGTGGACCTACTGGCTGGGCCACAAACACAAGGATGGACCACTTGGACGTTTGTTACATGACATCGGAAAGCAATACCCTGTGTAAATAGTTTTAATGTGATGGATGTGTAATCATTATAAAGTAATTTGATTTAAATGAGCTATGTTAACATTCATTATTCTTATTAACCCCTTAAAAAGAACTCAGTAAATGTTTAAGTGAAAGAAATAGAAACTTACTCAGTAACACCACATTCATTACTAATGAGTTACAGTGTTTTTCACTTTATAATACTGTTCTTGTTCTTTAGTAATCCCACATTCATTACTAATGAGTTACAATTTGTTTTATTTAGGTCATTATTAAGACTTCATTCCTTATTTAAAATGCATACATTAATTTTTTAATGTTTAGAAAAGATCAACAATATGTGGAGCACATCATGTGGAAAACACGAGTCTCTGATTGACCATCCCTTCAGTTGAACTTTAAAGCACAGTTTGAAGAACACTGGCACACAGACTGAAGTGAGGTAAACAATTAAAATGTAGGTACTGTATACATATTTTAGGCAGTAACATTTTGTAGAATAAGTTGTATGTCATATAAACAAGTAGGAGGAAACAATTAAGCCTGTTATTCCAAATGTAAAAAATGCCAAAAACCATTGAGAACAATAGCCTATACATCCCAGTTAGTCCAAAAAAAGCAATGTTCATTTGACGAGTAATGACCTAGTAGTTATTAGAAATAATCCATAGTTGGTACATAATTCCCAATGAGACCTGCAATACTCAATATGTTCCTGTACATTTATTGGAAAGACACTTTCTAAAGTTAAACTAAACTAATCAATCTCCGCACAAGCAGTTCGTCTCACCAGTAAATAGTTATGAATTTCTTTCACATTATCTTTTTATTTTTGATGTGTAGTGTCGGTCATACGTATAACATCTACATACAGTGGGGGGGGCACCGACAGGATTTATGGTGTTCATGTGTTCCTTTTAATTCAATTCAATTCAATTCAATTTTATTTATATAGCGCATTATCACAACATTACATTGTCTCAATGCGCTTTACATTTTTGCCTCGTAAGGACCCCCCATTGAGTAAGCCAAAGGCAACGGTGGCAAGGAAAAACTCCCTAAGAGGAAGAAACCTTGGGAGGAACCAGACCCAANAGCAGTCAATATAACAACTGAACTAAACATCAGAACATTTCTTTTTATGACAATTATCCACAAAGTGTGCAGCTTTTGTCACTGCAGTATATTTTTGTCTGCTTTTCAGGTGACATATTTTCCGACGCGCGCTCTCAGTCGATTGGTGGACGTCTGCTCACCTGTGTGTGAGCACACGTGTCTGTGCGCGCGCATCGGGGCGGAACACTATGGAATCAGATTTGTGCCAATATTATCAAGCAAAACTTTTTTGACATCAAGCAAAAACAAGGCTTCGAGAAGGAAAAAAACTAACTGAAGTAAAAGAAATGTCATCTCAAAAGTAAAATTTATAATTTGCAAACACGATTGGTCTTTTGATAATGTTTTCCTTTGTTTACTAATCCCAAACACGTGACCCATGGCGACTGATGGGCGTTCCCGTTACGTCGTACGTAACATGACCCGGATGCCGTTTTGATAGCCTCAGGGGGCGTTTCCAATACGTCACGGTGTAAACAGAACTGGACGTGAACTGGGACATTTAAACCGTTAGCTGTCATAGGGACCAGCCGGGATATTGCGCTGAAGGTACTAATATTTAAATTTAATGTTGGTTTCGTATTGTTAACTTTAACATATTACTTACTAATTCTTTATAACTGCAGAATGAAATTAAAGGTGGCTCACTTTGGGCTTTGTGGCGAAAGGCTGGCTACGCGACTCGCCGGTAGATATAAAAACACGCCCGCTGAGAGTGAAGTCGTTAACAGGACTCCACTGGAGCTAACGAGTTTGTTATTTATCGGCGTGGGGCTTCACATCCATAGCTCAGTTGGCGGCTTCATCAGTTCTCTGTTCGTGCCTTTAACTGGGGGGGGGGCACAGAGGTTACTTTCGCTTTTCCGCGTAACGTTGGGCGACAGTTCCGGAGCGTGTACTAGGAAGGAATTTCAAAGACATTTCATTCGTGCCTCTAAGTTGCCCGTTGTGTATAAATGTATCTGCGCAGTGACAGACTGGCGTCCCGTTGAGCCTTTTGTCCTATGCTGTCAGACATGGTTCAACGCCCCCCACCCACATCTTCAATCTGTCTAGTGAGCGACGGACTGCAAATAATGTATTTTAATAATTTAAATGGACCCTCACGGACAAAAAAGCTCACTGCATATTTTTGTTGATTTCATCGTGGAATCAGACCCTATGAGGGCCTTTTTGCCTGCTAAACCTTGATTTATTCCGAAGGCGGTGCACACCTTGAGAATCTCCCCGCATATTCTCACTTAGGGTTTCCACATCTCCAGCCGAAAAGAAGTCAGCTTCCACTGGGTAAAAAGGCAGAGCAGTGCTTTACAATATGGTCTGTGGCACACAGGGCAGAGCTCTGCTGGGTAGCACAGCAGACGTGAGAGGCGAGTAGTTTGCGCAAACATTTTACGCTATGCAAGGAAATTGTACAGATAATTATAAAAGCAGGCTGATGGATTTTGCCATTCTATATACTCAAAACCTTAAAGATCTTCTTACAACGCAGCACACCCACTGGATCTTTTGGCACTGTCATACCCGAGCTGTACAGCGCGGTTTAACCTCGCTTCCGTTCTGCTCTGCAGAAGGACCAGCTCGGTAAAGGCATTACCGGGTTTGGAGAGCGGCAGTGACATGTGCTAATTTCCGTTAGCACGCCTGTGACAATTTTGCAAGTATCAAGCGCTATCAGAATTAGCATTCGCTTGTGAAAAATTGCATTATGAATCCATTCTGTTCAGCTGTACTTTTTAAAGTAGGAGGTTGGAAATTTTCAAATTCCGTGGTTTCACGATTGCATCGCGACGTGCAATGGGCAGCAGGCAGATTTTATACATGGTTTGAATCATTAGCATGCAACAAAACCTGGGGGGTGTTTCATATAGCAAGATTTCTCAGTTAGCTGGGTTAATTTAAGCTAGAGGTATTGATCGCCCAATAAGAGTTAGGTAAGGAGCATTCCTATTTGACAATTATGATCTGAGAAATCCGGCAGCGTGGAACTCCGCTCAGGAGCAGGTTTGCTAAGTAGAGTTTGTTGCCATAACAACATACCCAGCTAAGATGAACCATTTTAGTGGGACCAGAAACTCCGCCTTAGCCCATTTTAATGTGGGTTCGCCAAGATCTCATAAAAATTGAAACATATTAAATATTAATTACACCTTTAGTTTATGTCAAATGCATGCCAAGTTGCCTGGCGTGCCATTGTGGTCCAAAAATATTTATATATGTCACAGTTCTGTGGATCTGACATTTAAGGAATGCAAAAGTAAGACCAGTCACAGGTTTGTTTGTAGCGTGTACATTACTAATACCATTATAAATTAATTTTGAATTCATTTCCTGGTTACTCCTGGACTAAATGTTTATCATAAGTGTTAGCATATCAGCCCCTATAGTACTTATTTTCAAGGGATGCCACAGAAAATTACTTAAACAGATCAACTCAAACCTTCAGGCTGATGATAAGCTCCATTTAATGTCCCATTAAAACTTGTTTGGCTGAACCGATTTTTGGTTATTCATATACTGCATTTATGTAAAAGCAAGCATACAAACACAACATAGAAACATGAACAGAATCATTGTACACACACCAATCATCACAGTTTATGAATAGGTTTGTTTTACTATTTATTATTGATATTTATAGAAAATGTATGGATTTATATTAACAATAACTTTGAAGAGTTTAAAAATGGACCATAGACTAGAAACAAAGTTATGGTGGCTAGGCAAAAGGTAATCAACGTATGTGATGCTTATAATTTAATATCTATGTTTTTTTTTTTGTTCAGCTATTTATGAAACTGTCTGGCACTGCAAGCTATGCAGTATGTCTCCAAGTGGAACCCAAACTCACACCATTTCAGTGAAGGAAGCTCCACCCTGATCCTAGTCAAAGAGCATTTTGGCAGGAACTTTGCTGAAAGCCTGCCCATGGAAATGAGCTTGAAGATCTTTAGCAAACTGGACATCAGGAGCCTGTGCAGTGCTGCAATAACGTGCAAACTGTGGAACCGCATTATTGAAAATAGCGACTATCTGTGGAGGACACACTGTCTGACTGTGCGGGGTGTCTGTCAGAGAGAGGTGGACGGGGACAGAGGGAGTGGCCTTTCCTGGAAGGTTTGTCTTTATTGTTACAATTGTTTTTGCTAGGATGGGTGTCACATGTGATGACTGTGCTGAATCAAGGCTGAAGCACAGAAGCTTTTTTTTCTTATCTTGAAGAAATGCTATGATACATTCACAGTCTTCAACCAAAAATGTCATTGTAAGGTTATATATCCAAAGTATTTTTATTGTTATTTATGAATAATAATAATAACAACATCATCATCATCACAAATAGCCTGTTGCAGTGCTTGAAGTGTGCTTCATGCTGTTGGGGATGGATGGATAGATGGATGTTTTTTTCAGTCTTTGAGGGAAAATTGTATGGATGACTTACTGCTTATTCTGTTCTCTGTTTCTGTGCTCACACTGGAATGTTTTTACAGGAAGGGTTATTTGACGAGAGAGAGCGGTTAAAACAATGTTACAGTGTTATGTTCTATGTTCTCTTGGTATGAAGTGATAATTGTTGTTTTTGGTTACTGGTTCGAATGTCTCTCTGTGTCCAGGTTACTCTAGTACGAAATTATCGGAAGGGGTATGTGAAGAGAGAGTGGCTGAGAGGCAGATTTAGCAACATTCGCTGTGTGGAGGATCTCCCTGACCGAAGCATGTGTGTCCTGGATGCAGAAAGCTGGGGTGAGATCCTGGAAGCTGAGCTGGAACGATAATGTAAAGAATGCTGAAGGTTTTGAGCACATCACTTTATGAAAGTTGAGTTATTTTACCTTTCATACAATTTTGCACTTAATGTTTGTATATATTTTAAAAAATTCAGTACATTTTGTAAAGTAATCAAAATCAAGTGTACATATAAAATTGTTATAAAAAATAAAAACATTAACAAAATGTAAGCGGTGCCATTACTTCAGCAGTTAAACTCAATTTATAATAAAATTATTCCCTGTTGTCAGTAACATACATGAAGTGTGGTGAAGTCCAAGGAGCAGATTGTTCCATTTGGAGGTGGGGGTTTTGAACCTACTGTATCCAAAATCATCTGCTGTACATGGAGTCACGACTCACACAGGACTATGTCTAGATTTAAATCTACGAAGAGAAAGGCAGCTTGGCTTTGATAAACCTTGAAAAATGAATGGATTGTTATTGTCTTTGAATCTATTGGTATGCTTCACACAGGGGACCAATCGGGGGGGGATTCTCTTCAAATGGCACCACTGTATCCCCTGCCTCGTGAATATGTGACTAAATCACCCAGACCTTAGTTACTGACTGACAAACACTGCTGATGTGAATGGGTAGACGTGTAGCTTGTATATACTGGTTAATGGTGCAATTTTTACGTTAAATACAGATTGTTTATGGTAAGCATTGAATTCCAGAAAGTCTTAACTGCTGCTGATACAAATCAGCCTGTGTTTGTATGACAAATAAAACGTTTCAGGAAAAAAGTTCTTGTAACTCTGCAACTTGTGTTTCGCAAAGAAGGAAGTGTTTGCTTGTTCCTCATTTTATTAAGCTTCTTTTAAGACTAGAAATATAAATATGCAAAACTGTCAGATCCTTATACTACAAGCATGATGTGGCTCAGTAAATAATCAGAATGAGATAAAAGCTGCTCATTATAGTCACAGATTTCAGTTCATGATGCTTATGCATTTGGCATTAGTTCAATTCTCGAGAGAAATGGGTCCAATAAACTCGGAAAAAAAACAATTATATTCAGCCAGCATTTCAAATATTTATTGTCAAATGAAGAATTGTTCTTTTATGTTTAGAGCATTGCCTTAAACCTGTCACAGATGGCACAAGCAACTTATAAATAAGTAATGAGAGAAGTGTTATCGGGTGCAATTGGTGTTAGCCACATTGGAATATTTCTGCGCCCACAGGAAGCACAGCATTGCAGCTCTCCACCATTATAGTATAACAATTTGAAGGACTTTAGTAAAGTACACAGTCTTAAATAAATAGGTGCACAGTAAAATCTTAAAATGTGTCTAAAACCACTGGATAAAATAGTTATTAAATAATAAATAACAAAAAGAGAACAAGAGAATAAAATCTTTTAAATGCATTATAGTTATTTCTCCAGTAGTAGAGCTTTTATGTGCTATGTTCTGTGTACTTTGTATGTTTAAGAAGGGTATGGGTAATATAACTGATAATCCTTTATCAAAGGATTGGTTCATTACCTATAGATGTGCAAAATGATCCACTGAAATTAATATTTAACAGCAAATAAACTGAAGAATGGGTGGTGTGATAAATATCAGTGTCCCCTCTTTCTTCCGGTGCTCGAGGTTTGAATCTCACCTGCTCTGTGTGTGCAGGTTGGAAGACGCTTAGATGAACTGTGAAATATTTAGTCTGTGATTAAGACTGCGGCATAAGCCACAGACAAATTATTATTGTTCTCATCCAGTTGCTATTTTCCTATCTTAGCAACTTCGTGAATGGCTTGAATCCATTCCTTGCGTTCCTTTGCTGTTGTTGCTTGCAGGAAGTAGTGAATTTCATCCGATGTAATGATTTCAAAGAGATTGGCAGCCTCGTCATTCTTCTTAGCTGAGGAAAAATGGAGGATGTTTGAGTTTGAGCCTTCGGAAAGACGCGGTGTGGTGTCATTCGTGAGACATCGTGAAGAGGGGTTTCATATCTACAATAAATGCCTAATGTCACCCTCTTACCATCGGGCAGATGATCCACAGCAGTTACGACCGAGCCTCGGAGGTTTATGGATCCAAGGGGATCACCTCCATCCTAGCAGGAAAAGAGGTACCTCTGTGTTTATGCCACAAGAAGGGATCACTGTTGTACCGTTAATCAGGCTACAGAGAAATCTATACATCTAGCTGCTTAAGCAGTTCATGCTCACACTAAACCTGGCCCATCTGCAGAAGGACACAAGAGGAGACACCCTGGGTAACATGCCAGTTCATTGCAGAGCAGTAAAGAGATACTGAGTCCCATATCCACATGTTCATTGGTTGTAAGAAAGGGAGAGCATGCAAAGTCCACACACACAAAGCAGCACACAGCACAACATTCGAACCTCCAACCCGGAGGTATGCAGCAACATTGCAACTCATTGAGCCATTTTAAAAATATCTCCAGTTCAATTATTTATCTTACTGGTGAGACCTAAGTGCATAATAAGATTCAGTATTATTTAGCTTAAAATAATCTTCTGCTAAACAAACAACACAGAGAGTAAAATATTGTTACCAAATATGAATGTCTGATGAGTTTATTCAGTCCAACATTTTCATTATAAGAATTCAAGTTCTATATGATGCTGTACTTATATACTTAAAATTCTCTTGTAATAAGATATAATCCTAGATCTTGGATGTCAGTTCAGTCAGCCTACAGTGCAAAAACAGCAGTTATGAAGCTAGTTGTATGAATACAGACAGTGCTCTAGACACAGTAGCCCCAAGCAGAAAACAGGTTCATAGTAAAACACTTAAGAGAGTGTTTTCTACAGGATACCTTGGTTGGATCGTAGTAGTGTAAATATGGAGGACTGCCTCTGAGAATAAATTTCCGGACTTTCCATGTCTTTCTGCGATGCCCCTAGAAATATTATTGAAAAATTAATTCTTTGGGTGGTTATTTGGGGGTATTTGTCAAGACTACAGCTTCTGCCTCACTGCACCAAGAACTGCATGAAACCCTACTGCCACTGCAGGCTTTACCTGCATCACCAAACATCCCTGCTTTATGATAATGCCCTTGAATTCCTCCTTTGTGACAGTGTCCTCATCACTTGAGTACCCCTCCGAGAAAAAGCCACTGTCCGCCTGCAAGGAAACAGGAGTGCACATGTCAACATGTAGCATAAATTAAAAAAAAAACTACCAGCTACCTTCGCAAAATGAAGAGATTAAATACAATACGTGTATGAAAAACATCATCCCTCGTTAACTCCTATCACATTAAAAACACTCCTATCTCAGGCAGCACAGGGCACATACAGTATACACACATTCACACAACAATGCTACTTATTTATTACACCTATTTACTACAATACTGTTGCACCTTTAGCCAATACGCCTAGTAATTCCACTTACAAAGTAATAGAAGGCATCTAACTGGTCCAGCAGAACAGACACCGACTGCATCTCAGCTGCCTTCTTAGGCACTTCCCCAGCTGGCTGCAGATACCCCTCGTTCAGGAGCCCTGTAGCTAGCATTAGCGCCTCTGTCCTGTTCCTGGCTCGGCCCTGGGACACCAGCCAATCAACCGCTTGGCTGCCTACACAGAGGAGAGGAAATAATGATAATTTAAAAAAAAAAAAACAACAGGGACCAACTGCAAATCATGTACTGTCTCAGCTACAAGGGAGAAGATGTTTTAATGGCAGCTATTTTGAGTGCTTGAATTATACAGCATGTGCTGTGTATTTTAATTCAAGGTACAGGGGTCTGAGTGAAGAAAAACTGGCTGTTATTCTCCTATTTGTCAGACTGCTTTGGTCTTTCTTTGTACCTGTGAAGCACTGGTTGAATGTTCTCTTGTTTCTCTCCAGCTTCTTCTCCTTTATTCCAGTGTTTTGGTCTTTCATTGAGTTATACAGTTCACTAGGGGGGGGGGGAGTAAGCCAAAGACACAGCATGATTGTGTCACATGAGAGCTGTGCAGGCCGAAGCCTGGACAAAGCACACTAGCCAAGGTAGCTTGTTGGCAGCAGGAGTACAAGAATACAGACTCTATTAGCCGCTAATTAGAAGACCTTGTAATACGACCAAATACGATCATTCAGAAAGGTACCTCATATTTACGGTGCTGGGCAACTGACTGGCCCTCCGTATGGACCTCCTTGCAAACTTCATGCCCCCATCTAGACCACTGATAGTTTTCTGGATGTCTTTGACCCAAACCTCCATTTCTTCCAAATGAGTGGCTTGGAAGAAATGGTCGTGGCTTTTCGGTGTGCTGATCTTAAAAACAAACTGGACAGGGATATGGTGTGGGAGAATAAGGAGAAGGGCAGTGAGCACAGCCCAGGCAGACTGTGCTAACACTGGGCTCCTGTGCACAGGCTTAAGACAAAACTACATTTCATCATGTATTGTGAAAATCTATAATAGACATTTTCTAGTGGCATTTTCCCCTAATGTGTTAACATTATACATGAAGATTCAAGTGAAAAGTGTCTCATAAAAATGTATTTTTACTGTCATTGTTTAAAATTAACTTGAATAAAGTTAAAGTGAAATTGAAAACTGAGCATCAACTGTATTGTATAATTGTATGAGCTGAAAAGGCATTTATTTATGCATTTTTGTTTCTTTTTATGCCATTCGGCTTACCGTGGATGTGACTTAAGTCTTCATAATTTATCACAACCAAAATGGCATTAGACAATGGTAAATGGACTGCATTTATATAGTGCTTTTCTACTCTTACGAGTACTCAAAGTGCTTTACAACTCATGCCTCACATTCACCATCCACACTCACATTCATACACCGGTGGCGGAGGCTGCCATGCAAGGTGCCAACCTGCACACCGGGAGCAATTTGGGGTTCAGTGTCTTGCTCAAGGACACTTTGATGGGGTGAGGAGGAACCAGGGCTTGAACCTGCAACCCTCCAGTTGCCAAACGATAACACTACCTCCTGTGCCACCGTCTTCCCCGAATCAGTCCAACTCTTGCTACTCTTGCCCCCCCCCCATAAAAACAACCAACATTGTACCCAGAAAGTCATATATACTGTAGAAACCAAATGGACAAACATACACTGCCCGTCCAAAAAAAAAGTCACCATTTGAATTTTTTGTTGGGCCGCCTTTAGCTTTGATTATGGCGCATATTTGTCATGGCATTGTTTCCACAAGCTTATGCAACATCTCATCCTTTATTTTCATCCTGATTTGCATTAATTTCTCAACAAGATCCTGTATTGACAAGTGAGTTGAACCACTCCATAAAGCCTCCTTCAGCACGTCCCAAAGACCATCAGTGAGGTTAAGGTCACAACTATGTGGTGACCAAGTTACGTGTGAAAATGATTCCTCATGCTCCCTGAACTACTCTTTGACAGTTCAAACCCAATGAATCTTGGCATTCTTGTCCTGGAATATGCCCATGCCAACAGGGAAGAAAAAATCCATTGATGATGGATAGAGGTGTAACCTGGCGATTCAGTAGATTCTGGTACTCAGTTGATTTTAGTTCATTGCTGCATAACGTTGCAGGACTGTAATAATGATCTAGTCATTGCTTTTAAGTATTTGCTGATATAAATTCAAATGGTGACCTTTTTTTTGGACGGGCAGTGTATTATAGAGCATATCAGATGCAAAATGTTACTAAAACTTTTCATATGAACATAAGTAAACATATTAAGACACATTCAGCATTTAAAATCTAAATTATATATATTCAATCATTTTCCTAAGAAACATTTTTTAGGAAAATGGTTAAATTGCATCATTTGTAGTCCTGCTCTGCAAATAAAAATGGGTGAAAGTGCGTGAAGGTGAATGCATGTAATTCACAGGATGGTGGTTTGCAGAAGCTCCTTACCGTCCTTTTCAGGAAGTCTTGGCATGTGCTGATCAGCTTGGCTCCCTTCAGGGGGATCATCGCTTTGGGAGAGCTGTCAGCCTTCTTCCTGTAGATCTCCACACCATCATCTGACAGAATCACCCACACCACCTTCCAGGAGTTCAGCAACGTGCGCTGCCAGGGGAGGGGGGCGGGGTGGGGCTGGATGAGCCGCTTAACGCTATTTTTGGCTAATTCACGGTGCTATCTCTACAGAATGGAACATTTACGCAAACTTCCTGTATAGCAGTGCCGCTACTCGCTTGGTAAAATGGAACAGGGATAAAGAATGTACTAAATGGATCAGCAAAACAGAAGTATAGAAGTACATTTTTTGTTACATTGTAAACAAAACTGCTGTTATCGTACTCTTGTAACATCTTGTAAAGTCACAAATTTCACATGAGATAAATATATCTACCAAAATCTCACACTTCATGTTTCAGTAGAATGTACACAAAATTATAATGAATCCCCTTCGATTATGGAAATCTGTTACGAAGAATTCCTGAGTTAGGGTTGAAATCAGTATTCTACAGGGATCTATCAGCCTGTTTATAAAACCCTTGATGTGTTTTAATAAGTATGCCATTTTGAATGAAAATCTAATTAAAAATATTTCTAAAAAATTTCTATTATTGAACCATAGAGAACTCGTGCATTTCTGTTGGCTTCATCTTATGATTTACAATTAGTTAAATATCAAGGAAATTGATTTCATGCATATTCACAAAAATTATTACATTTCTTCTTCACATTAATCTTATAGTGAATATTTGCAAATATAGTGCACACAGTGAAAACACAACAGTGAGAATGCAGCTAAAGACTGAGTCTGTGTTACCTTTTTCACTAGGTAGCCCTCCCTGATTTGCTGTGGCTCCATGTAGAGTGAGCTGACGTCTGGCTGCCTGTCTTCTCCGGTCTCATTGGCGTTGTGTTGTAATGTTTGCTTTCAGCTGTATGAACCGTCCGCCTCTTCAAAAATCAACTTCCTGCTCAAGAGCTTTTCTCAGCGTGACGCACATCAGTGCGAGGAAGGGCATGCCAGAGACTTACTTCAAGTTTATCTCAAATCTAGATATAAAAAAAAAAAAACATTTTTCATCCTTACTTTGTCCTTTAAATGAAAAACACAATGTGATATTTTTAAAGACGTATTATTTCATTTAATGGATTGCGTCGCCGAGTATTTGGCATGCCTTAACATAACTTAACTTCACTGCCTCGCCCCAAGCAGCGACCTTCATATAGTTCATGTGAATAGAGCGAGGAATGTGAGGCAGCAGCCACATCCACACAGAATAAGCACAACTATGAGGAAAACCTTTTCTATGACTTTCAAACCAATACTGCACAAGGCACCTCTGATGTAATGGGTAAATGCCGCACAAACAGGAGTTACTAACAATGAGTAAGAAAACAAAATTCAAAGCGCAGAGCTCTGCCAGAGAGGGGAGAACTTAGAACAGGTCTTAATAGCCATTAATTACTACCAAATCATTTTGGACAACAAACCATACATTATTATCATGCTGCACCAGTAGCAGTTCTGCATTGCGCAGTGTGTATCTTCAGTAGTATCCTGTCTTTATCCCTTGTTTATTTCTCCAGTGCTCAGTAGTGTTGCCTTCCGCAAAACGGGGAAGTGGATTCAAGAGGCCTATTTAAGTGCCACTGGCCACAGTGCCTCACTGGACACTGAGCGCCGCCTGCTGTTCAATTAGCCTGATGCCTCATCTAAGCGAATTTAAAAATGTTGTGGTTGTTGGTGTCAAACATGGTGGCTCCAGCATCTCCCTCCAGTGACGTTCATGTACTGCAGAGTTACAAGAGGACGGTCTCGTGAACAAAGAGCGTCCAGTCTGTGGCATCCCTGTGGCTGAAAACCACTTCTGAATGAGGTAGGTCAGAGAAGAACGGCCAGACTTGATAAAGCTGATAGGAAGACCACAAGTACAAAAATAACAGCGCGATACACCAGTGGTGTGGCAGGCTGCTGCTCCGAAGCAATTCTGGAGGCAAAATTTGGTCCTGCCTCATACTACAGTAGCTAGGTCTACCTCGTAAAGTGGCTATTGAGTGTACATACAAATTTGAAATAAAAGATAACATAGTGAAGTACAAGAGAATTTTAAAGCTCCTTATTAAAACTCACCATCCTTTCCCCCTTGTGGACCAATGTAATATACCTGCCAAACCTATAGCAGAAGCTTCTAAATATGATTCCCTCTGAGACACTTTTCACAAAAAGCCCCAAGGATGTCATGCAAAGCATTATTGTGGTTCAAATTAGACGCTGTGTATGTACTTCCCTGGAACACCCTGCCCTACAGATATGAGAAGAAGCAGCAGGATTTGGAAAGAATCAGAATTACATCTGTCGGTGATACAGAGCATAACAAACATGCCCAGACAGTGACAGGCATTTGATGTGCTGCGATTTGCTGCGGTGATACTTGCCCTGAAGGCAGAAAGAAACTCCCCCTGTTTTCACTTGATGGTTCAACCCGCCACATTGTCCACAGAAACTGCAGCTAGTAAGAGATCGTGTCTAACTGGTTTCAGTACATTACAGTATTTACAGCACATTGCAGTACTTTTTATTGCAGAGGTCCTGGATCTGAAGGTAAACTAATCAGTGAAAACTCATAAGGAGATACTTTAAATGGAAAATGAATGATATATTTGTCTCAAATGACTTTGGCCAGCAAACTCTTCCTTCACACATAGCTTGATGGTTTCAGTCAAGAAAACATCCCAACTATGACCAAGTACTGAACTGGTAGCTACATATACATGGAAAGCATCCCCAACAAACCTGTCCTTACAGGCTGTGCAGCAATCTTAATGCAATTCCTGCCTCTGGGTTTAGGGTTATTTTAAAGTAGTAAATAAAATTATATATTAATAGTAATGATCAGGTAATGTTGAGATCATTTTACCATGAAACTGAAAGCATTAAATATGGCAGTTAAGCTCCTCCCCTCTGCTACGGTCATATTTACATTTCTTTAGCCGATGCTTCTATCCAAAGCGACGTGCAGCTGGGAAGGCAGCAGCAGACAGCGCATGCAGCAATCATGCATTCACACATCAGCACTGTCCTGGGATGCAGAGGGGCCTGCAGCCTATTGCTGGGCAGGGTGTCAGTGTCTTGCTGCAATACAATATTACCTACAATATTCAGTTAGCAATTAGCCTAAATATATGGAGGAGGAAACAGGGAGAACACACATCCCCGACCCTGGAGACACATGGCCTCCGTGCCACCCTGGGGACTGATAATTCTGTGTAAATACCGTCTGACTGCATTCACACTTACACACCCGTTTTACAAGGTCAGTCTGTGGTTTCTGATCGGTTCCCAGTGCATCCTTAAAACAGTCATAGTCATTTTGTACGAATTGCACCTGGTCACAGCTCACTAATGAGAACACCCTTCTTTAGGAGGCTGCCTTCTGCGCGCAATTAGTGAAGCACGGTGTTATATGTGAAATGCGATCATCAGTGCAACTGCAATAGCAACAATATGGAAACCTGACACTGACAATGGAATAGTCATAATGACAGTATGCTGAAGGTGAAAGAAAAAGAAAGAGAGAGAGAGAGAGAGAGAGTGAGAGAGATGGTTTAGTACAGTATGGTACTAGATTTAGTACAGTTGCCCAAAGTCTGGATGTGTGTGTGTGTGGATTAGGTTTATATTACTTTGTGGGGACCAAATGTTCCCCACAATGTAATGAAAACCTGTTTTTGACATGTTTTGGGTCCCCACAAAGCTCTGTGAATGCAATCAAAAAATGCTATAAGTCGTGCATTTTGTTTGGTTACTTATGGTTAAGGTTAGGGCTGGGTGGGGTTAAGGTCGTTATTGCTGGAATTAGGGTTTTTCCCAGAGAAATGAATGGACAGTCCTCACAAAGAGATGAACACAAACATGTGTGTGCGTGCATGTGTGCGCGTTTCCTGCATACCATCCATGGTGTGCCCTATGCTTACTTTTTAACAGATATGACTGAAGATACAGCTGCTGCATTTGCTGAGAAAATGAAATTCTATTTGATTCCATCTATCAAATCTGACTGTGATTTTATTATATTAAATGCCTGCTGGTCATGTATGAAATGAGGCTCTGAAACTCACTGCTGCTGGAATTACTGGACATTGATCATCAGTTGGTTTTATTCAGTGTGAACCAGTAATATAAAAAGGGAAGTATATTAAATCAGGATAATCACCAAGCTTTGACCTTTGCTCATGAATGAATTCAGTAAGTGGACGGTTTAGTTATATATTAGGATATATGGTATGGTTGGTTGAACACCATGCAGCTTAAATTTATTGTTGTCAGTGTAATTTTACATTGTCAAAATCTTCTTTGGAGCCATTTTTCTACTAATTCTACATACATATACAGCTTATGTATAAGGTTCTAACTTAAATATAAATCTTAAAAGCCATAAGAATTCAATCACTTGATGCCTGTTATTGTTACGCCTGTTGTTTCTGTATCCCCCCCCTGTTTTTCTTTTTTTTTTTTTTCCTTTTTCCACGGTACTGGTGAGTTCGGAGCGGCCACACTCTTTGCTCTTGAATGTAATGTAAAATAAAGTTGTCCTCCGAAGAGGGGGGGTGGTGGGCAATAAAGAAAAATAAAAAATTCAATCACTTCAGACTAGTGAATAATTCAGCAGTTCATCTTTCCCCGGTGCAAGTGAAAGAACTCGCTCCACACCAGCCATGGTGATAGTCGTTAGTGTGAGCACAGTCACGTTTCCCTCACAGTAACGGTCTCATACCGTATGCCAGCATAGGCACCTACCCATGGCTAATTTTGCAGGTATTTTGCATATTCTGAATCCAAAGCATTTCATTTTATGCCCGTACCTGACGTCCATTTGGAATCTGACATGACATGGACTGGGAACTCAGTTTAAATACGTCTGTTGACTTTCAGCGACCAAAGCAGAGCACCTGAACCGGTGCACAGCACAATCATCCCCAAGACCATTGGACAGTATGCTACCGGAAACATGTAACCAAAGGGGCTACTGACTAAATGGGTGCCTCGAGGATGCGGCGTACCAAAGGCAGACTGGAAAACCAGGGAGAAGCACCAGGACACAGGAATAAACCTGCAGGATTATTGCCACTGGCTCTTCATAGCTTAAACTCTACATATCCTCCCATTCTTCCCATGGACTCTTTGTCCTGCTTCTGTCTGGGATCTGAATTTGTTTGTGAGGTTCAGCAAAAGCATCTTCCCCAAGGCTGACAGGACACTATATAAATAAATAACCCCGCTTCCCACCCTGCCTCCTCCCCATTCCTGAGGTTATATATATATATTTTTTTTTATCTGTTTATTAGTTGATTTAGCAGATTTTACTGTTCATTAACCCACCTCCTTAAGGTACTGCCCTCTTACTTCTTGTTTACATACACACACGTCGCACGATGTATACAAACCCTTCAGGTATATATACACTTCAGGTACTGTGGTAACCCTCCTCCGTCAATGCTGTTGTATATTACACCGTGGTCCTGTAGGGGGCACTCTTTCGTGCCACTGTATACCTGTATAAGGATGGTATGACATCATACTCCATTTGACATCACTTGAATTAATTTTAATAAGCAGCATTTAAAGTGCATTCCTCAATAGTTCTGCGCCCAGCAGTTCTCCTGCAAGGTATCTATTCATGAAACAGTTGTTCCCAATCGTTCCTCTGAGATCTTTTACACTTTCAAGTCCCATTTCTTAGAACTCATACATCAGTGAACAACAGAATTATTCTTTCTTCCATAAAATGAACGCGTATTAGCACTTCACATTGTTCTGTTATGTGATTCAATTAATGCCATGGATGCACCAGTCTCACATTACACAGAACAACGAGTTTTATTTCACCTCCTCATGGAATCATGTGCCAACAATGATATCCTGGTGTAAAATGGCTGCCTACTCAGCCTACAGAGTGCTGATGTATAGTTTTTATGGCTAATAAGAGGATGTATCCTACACTAGATATGCTAATCCTAAAGATGCTATACAAGCAAGGCTGTGAGGAGTGTTTTTAAATTTGACATTTTTATTTTATTTTTTTATCAAAACATTTCCATCTGGTTGGCATGGTCGCTATAAGGGTAAGAATGTGGCCTCATGCCTTCAGTTTTTTTTTTCATTTTGATTCTTGCCCAGACATGTTTTCACTGTGTTTTTGGGTTACCACAATTAAACAATGTGCAGTTGCAGCTCTGCAATGGACTGGCACCGTCTTAAAGCTCCGTACAGTACTTTCTGCAATAAGCCCCAGACTCATTGCTATCCTAAACTGAATAAGTGATTAAATACAAAAATTCTTAAATTGTTTAGAACAAAATATACATTATTTGATTGTTTTGAGTTTTAACACTAAAAAACATTTGACCACAATGTGACTGAAATTAGTGCATTTTTTACAAGTGTAACAGCCTTCACAGATCGCCAAACAACGGTGAATTTCGGCATCTCTTTACTGTCAATTACTGAAGCTACCACAAGAGGGAGCACTACAAGCGGTGAACCACTGCCAGCGCTGCGATTCATCGAATTAAAATAAGACGTGCCAATCAACACCAGACATTTCAGGAATACAAAAATGTACTATGCTCTTAAATTGTAAAAAGATCAGAACAGCCGAGACCGTATTAAGTGATGATGTACGGTATGTTAGACTATTCCAGTTTCCAGTGTCACTGGCTACATCCACGCTTAGATAGTAATTATATGCATTATTGCATATTACCGGACATAGTACTGGCCAAAAGCACGAAGTAACTTAGATCGTGTAAGGAGCCGCATCCCATCCAGAAAATGCCCGACTAATGGATGACTTCGCCCCAATAAACCGAATTATCACATTAGTCGGTCCGCATGGTAATTTCTTTCTCTGATCACATGCCTCCATTTAATACCACGAGCTGCAATACACGTATCCCACAAAAAAAGGTGCCTAGAAAGTGTTTACTGAGGCTAGTGCAATTGCAGTACTTGCAAGTATTGTGATTGTGAATGATATAACTCAATTATATTCAGTTATTATTATAATATTTTCTTCTAAATTAAACACACACGAACTATATACATATATACAGTAAGTATCATAGTATTTGTACCTATGAGCCTGTGCTTTTATCGTTATTTGCAAAGTCATACGACACCGTGCCTGTCAGATGTCAGTTGGAAAAAAAACAAATCAAAAAATGTTCCTATAGCTTTCTTTTACCCACGAAAATGATCAAATGATCACACATAAACATATGCATGCACTGGATGAAGCAGCACAAATGGACCCCGAATGGAAAACACCCGGATGTACTGTACTACTGCACCTCCCCCTCCTTTCACTTCAGCCTCTCTACACCAACACAACCACCTCCGCTTCTCTTCCCCTCCCTGCGGTTCTACTGGAGCCACTGCAGTGAATCCGTCATCAGTTGAGAGAAGGCGAGCGCAAAGCAAATACTACAACAAGCTGCCTGCAGAAAGCATCGATTACACTTACTCACATATAATACTAATTAGTATTATTCCACCAGAAGTAGACTTCAGACCGGCACGATGGTAAGGAGTAACTAATGCTTTTAGGATTGTTATTGCATACTAAGATGTGCATGGAGTTTAAATGTGCCACAGCATTGCATATAACAAATTTAAGGCGTTAAGTGGCGCCACTGCAGGTATAGTAACCAAGTTGACTAGCCCTCCGACGTGCGTTACAAGTCGCGGTGTTTGTTGTTGCGTGTCCCCATGTGTGCTTTTCACTTGCCCGGAGCCGCTTTCGTCGTGTCAGCGCGGCCCAGCCGCTACTGGTGGCGACAGGCTGCCGAGACGGTGACTTGTTCTTTACCGCCGTCCGGGCTCCGCCGTGCAGTCGTGTAGCAAGGCTACTACTCATGGCGCGAGCCCTGGGCTGTGGGGGACCGCGCGCGAGCTGCTTATATTGAACCCTCGCGGCATCGGTCGCGAGCTGGTTATACTAACGATGTCCGCGTGGTAGGTTAGTGCTGCAGTATCTAGTTATCGATTCGTTATAATTAATATCCATGACAGATGTGCCGTTTTCACGGTACAACTTTCTGAATATTAGTAGCCAAGTAACACGTTTTCCTCGGTCTAGTAGTATTTTAAATGTTATGTTATGGTTATTACATGACTGGCTACGTGAAAAGAGTACAATATCAGGCCAAAATAGTTCGTTTTGGATCTAAAAACGTATACATGTAACAAGTTTAACATGAGATTAGCATTTCCTTCTCCATCGTGGTTATTGTTGCAGGCGTGTATATCAATATATTTTGGGCTAAAACGTACCCGTTTTGTGACATACAACGACATAATAACGGTGTCGGGACTACGGTAAGGGGCTATTTTGTTAAATAAGGTGCAAGTGTTTTTGATAGTTGGTTACCGTGTTTTTTGACGTCCGTGTCAGGCTGCTTGCGGCCATTATTATTTTCGGTCCACCATCAACGGCTTCTCACGTTGCGCCCAAGATTTTTGCACGTCCATGTGTTAATTTCGCTATAAAGCTTCATGCAGTTAGTAAATATCGGCATAATGCGCCGGCCAGCAAAACGAGACGTATTATTTCCATACAGAAAATGGTTATCCATTTTTATTCTCAGAGGTGGTGGGTGTCTCACGACTTGACTCACGACTTCAACGAAGTTCAGGCGTTCACGGCAATGATGCTATTGCTTGTTAAATCATTGAAAATAATAAACGTCCATAAAGATTCCAGTGATGTGATCCGCAAGCAGTCGTGTTTCCTTTGATTAGCAGTTCCTTTTCATCTTCAGCTGTATTATACTCATTCCTAAACTTGAAATTAAATATCAGCGCAGACCAATATTGCAAACGCAATATGAGGAGCTTTAAAACGCATGTCAAGCATTTGCATCGCACACATATGCGGCTGGTGTGTGAGACATGAAGATATCGACCCTGCAGCTGTCTTGTGTATACAGACAGGCTGCCTGAAGCTCATTATTAAGAGCCAGATTCGCTGCAGGAAAAAAAACCGCAATAACTTCGATTAGGAGAATTAGTTATCGGCGTTTTAGATGGCAAAGGAACATTCCAGAATGTATGGTCAGCCTAGGAAGTAAGGAGAGCGGCATCAATAGTCCCAAAGCACAGCCTTACCAAAGCACAGCCTTACCAAAGCACAGCCTTACCAAAGCACAGACCTTTTTCATTCAGTATTCATTCATTCTGTTCAAATGAACACTGTTTATCTTTTTACAAATGAGCAACTTAACCTTTATCTGTAAAATGTAGAGATAAGTAATCTTTGTATCAAAAACTGCACATATTAAACAGTACATCCATGAGACAGTAAAATAAGATGAAAACACGTAGGCGAGATGAAATTAATTAGCAGGAAACTAGGAGATCTCCAGGTTACCCAACTTGGGACGTAATCTTGCACTATTATTAAGGGTACATGCAAAGAGAGTAGGTGAAGTGAAGAACTACTTATTCAGTGATGGCCTCTCTTTGGGGTAAATATATAACAAATGTTAATTAGCAAATATGCTAAAAACGCTATAGAGACACGAGTAAGTGGTTCCATTTTCAGATTAACAAAGAATATGGTTATTAATCTGTATCATGCATATTTTTGGTGGGGGGGTGGTGGGTGGTAGTGGTGATACTTTGAATTATGTTAGCTGGGGCACATTCTCCCCATTAGCTATTGTTTCGTGTATACCTGACGCCCCGCTGAGAGGGCAGTGATGGGGACGAGGCCTCCTACAGCAAGTCCAATTCGAGACCAAGACCTTATTGTGTACAGACCGAGACTTTGGGGTAGTCGAGACTGACACCGGAAAAATAAAGTCCATTTTCGAGACCATCGTTTTGATTATATTTATTTACTATTATCATTGCCTCTGCTAATAATTGAAAGCAAAATTGTGTTGAGTATGACAGTCCTTTGATCTCAAACATTATTATTCAATCAAAAATATCCAACATTATACCACTGCTAATCTGATCTAATTTTTACTTGAGTCGCTCCTCAGGGTGAGAGATGTGTAAAAACCTGTATGTGAGAGTTCTACTTATACAATAAGTCAAAGTGAGCTTTTATTGGTTATACTGCCTGATTATTTGAAATGTAAAATGACATATCTAGCACACTCTGTAATTAGGGTCTCATGGTGCTCCAACATGCACACACCCTGTCCTTACAACTGATTTTTGCCTGACTTGCTTAATGACCTTAAGTATTCGAATTGAAATGTAAGCATATTCCAGTTTGCAGAGCGGGGAGTTGGAGGATTGAGCCTACGTTCTTAAAAGACTACCATATGTTTGGCTGGAATTGCGTTCATTTCTGTGATATGATAGGCTGATGTGTGCTTTCAAACAGTGTCCCTAACTGACAGTTTATTGAAGTTTCTCACTTTCTTATTTTTTAATTTTAGGTACCCTGTGCTGAAAAAAAATTCATTTCGGATCTCGCTCTAAAATTACGAGTCCGAACCGTACATGCTTATAGTCCGAGACCAATTTAAGTAAAGTAGAAAACATCTGAGTTCCAAGTCACTGAAAAACTGTTTTCGAGACCAAGACAGGACTCTAGTATTACAGCACTCCTCTACTGATGCACATTTTCAATCTTCATTTGTCGTCCAGTACCTGGACTTTCAGTAGGATATACAAGTGATGACACTTAAGCTATATAACTTCATTGTACATGTTACAAAATGAGCACATCATAGAACTCCAGGCTGAACTCTGCCTGTTGTGTAACACTCCAGTTAGATAGTGGACAAAGTACCGACGTTTGTTGGCACTTTATATCAATTTGTAAAATATCAAACTTGAGATAATGTAGGATAATTTTCTACAGTTGTCCATATATTTATGAAAATGAATCAGTCACCAGAGTTCAGTACCAGACTTTTTTTGGGCTGTCAGAAAAGTGTTAAAGGTGCTGGTTATAATTATAGTTCAGTCAAGGTTCCCAAATTTGGTAGCAGAGCAACGGCACTAGAAGATCAGTCTATAAAACAAATACCTTGACATGCAGTGTTGTGCAGAACTCCCCCTCAAACTGCAGTTTCCTCCTGGGGTGAATGGTATGAGGGTCAGAATCTCCAATCAAGCTGATTTTTTTCTTCTTCCTTTTTTTATTAGCTGCATGTTCCCTCATTAAAATGATTTTCTATTTAGTCTAAAACCAGGACAGTAGAACAGGGCAGCACTTTATATAATCATTCACCGCTTTTTCATAATCCCCTCGGTTCCCGGAGTCGTGATAGAACCGGCTTAATTTATGCGTGATGCCAATGCATCACATTGACTCCTCTCGTTACAGCTGTGCGCCCGGCGCAGGGTGAGACGGTGCGCTTTGCTTAACCCGTGTCTCTCGGCAGAGGGCGGCCAGTGGAGGACGCCGGATTGCAGGCTCCTTTTTTTTTTTTTTAAAAGAAAACCTAAATGATTGCGTTTGCGTCAAGTGTGGATGAGTTTTGTGTTAAGGAAGGTTGGGATTTTGATTCATTATGGTGGTCGTTATGGGAACGCTCTGTGAAGGAGCTGGACTGGCTGTGTACTTGAGTTTTTTTGTTATATGGGGAGAACATCATTGAATGATAACCTTAAAATGGCTGATGTCGTGATAATTGGTCACCTAGCTGTTTATATTTTACATTATTAAATTTGAATGACTTAACATGGAGATAAGTAATGGTAATGTTCTTAAATTTGCACCTAGCAATGTGTTTAAGTGCTAAAAGAAATATTAGTACCTGTTTTTGGGTCATTTTCTCAGTTTTGTAATACCGCTGGTTTGGGGCTTAGCCTGTTAATTAAATAGAAGCTGTATGTGGCTGCAGATAGTAACCTGGCTGCAAAGATCAAGGACACAAAGTTCCTATAAGCATTACAGCAGGGTTTTTTAAAGGTGACTCTATACTCCTGACGGAATCAACTTCGTTTTAGTAAAACGACTTCATATGAGCCATAATTACCATGATGCTAACCGTTTTGGCACACTCCCTGTACAGGGTATCCGGGGCAAACTTTTTTTCGTTTTATCTGATCCCACCCATTGTCCACGATTGGCTGACATAAATGTGACACAGCAGGGTTGGTCAACAGGACTAATTATTCAGTTACTGGCAGGTTAGCACTGTACCGCAGTTCAAATAGTTTGAATTATTATATGTATCTATGTTTTTGTGTTAATAGTAAATGTGGTAACCATGTGGAGTTTGCCATGGACTGCATTTCTTTCATTAGTTAGTGAGTAACTCTGAGTGTCGTGTAAATTTTTGGCTTCACTGTCTGTGCTGCCGCTACTATTAAACCAATAGTGGCTGTTTGTAAAGAGAGTAACTACCATTTTAAAAAAGCTGTCATCTCCTTCATTAAAATGACTGACACACTTCCCACAATTTGATTATTTTGCCCTCTGTATGTGGGTCTGCTACATCAAAAATATTCTGGGCCCTCTAGGGTTGCGGTGTGGCAGCGTAGATTTGAGTATGAATCAGACTGTTCTCGCCGAATTGTCTGATTTTGTTTCGTCTAGATGTTGTTTGAAGTATATGGTCACTGTAACTGAAGGGTTCGTTACTGTCCCAACGTGAGTCTGCGGTTTTCAACTGGATGAAATCCAGCCATGGGTTAGAAAAATGTTTAGCTATTACTAAACGAACAAACCAGTATGTAAATGAATACTTGGGCTATCCGAGATCACAATTAGTATTTTAGCATTGAATCTTTGAGTAAGCTTTTGAGCTTGCAATTACCAGTGCGTTATGCTCAATTATACAATTAAGGAACATTTTAAATTGTATGTTATGCTGTATTACCTGATAGAAAGCTACTTATCCTAAATTTCTCCAGTAAAATATTCAGCTTCATGGGGAAAAATTTCATTTCAGTGACAGAATGTTCCCTTAATATAAATGTGATTAGGCAGGGGATGCCTCAAAGAGAACGACAGTCCATCATGGGGCATATAGTCAGAGGTGGCCATTTCAGGTCCAAAAAGTAAAAATCCAAACCAGGATTTTGTTTCAACCAACCAGTTGAGTATAAAGAGTCACAGTCACAGAGTACTCATCTGGTTGGTTGAAACAAAATCTTGGTCTGTTTTTTTTTTTTTATTTTCTGGACCTGAAATGTCCGCCTCTGCACATAGTATCACACCCTATGGGAAATTAGCAATGTCAGTTTGCCTGACCACAGTACTCTAAGGAAACCGCCTGAACATTTTCCCTTTTTTGTTTTACCATTTTGCTGTGCTGACGAAGAGCTTATTTTGTACAGAGTTAACTTAAGAACGATAGCTCCTTGACTTTCTTTTTGCTGTATAATTTGCTTCCCTTAGGTCCTTTGCAGCATTTTCCATGCGATGTGTTAGTTAACACAGTCTAAGTAATATCATTTTGAAGAGAGAGTGGGAGAGAATATACTTCAGTAAACAATCCAGTGAGAGTTTCTTAAACCTTCTACTCGGTACTATAAAAGGGTTTTACAGCAAATCACTGCCGAGTGATGGTTTGGTAGAAAGAATAGGAAATGAAATCACAAAAGATAAGACAGATTGGGGTGTAGATTTGCATAAAAAGTAAAACTGCTGGATGACTTGCTGCCAAAATGTCATAGGAGGTTCTGCATCTGGAGTTGTAGGGCGGAGTCAAGATAACATTACATTGCTGCTGAGCTAAGGGGCTAAATTTGCATGTGTACACTTAAAAAGATTTAGTAAACATT